CACCAATTTGTGTAACTGCAACATTTCAACAAAGTTGGCAACTGGGTGTCACTTATGGCGGAACACGACAACCACATATTAATACACGGCCCTGACATCTTAACGATATCGTCACGAATGTATCTGGAAGACCAGACTGTAAATGTGATGCTATTTCAGCAATAAAGACATAAAAAACATCACATTTGTACAATGTTGGGAAGTGGGTGTCACTTACGTCGTAGTACACCAACAACGTCTTCATATATGGCCCCCACCTCCCAACCACATCATCAAAAGCGTGAGTGAGTGTGATACGGTCCAAATAATAATAGATAGATAGATAGATAGATAGATAGATAGATAGAGAGAGAGAGAGAGAGAGAGAGAGAGAGAGAGAGAGAGAGAGAGAGAGAGAGAGAGAGATGTTTGTGTAACTGCAATATTTCAACATAGTTGGCAACTGGGTGTCACTTATGGCGGAATACGACAACAACATGTTAATACACGACCCCGACATCTCAACGATATTGTCACGAATGTATGTGGAAGACCGGTCTGTAAATGTGATGCAGTTTGAGCAATAAACACATAAAAAACCTCACATTTCTACAAGGTTGGGAAGTGGGTGCCACTTACGCCGTAATATACCAACAACGTCTTCATATATGACCCCCACTTTCCAACCACATCGTCACAAGCGTGGCTGACAGTGATACGGTCAAAACAATAACAAAGAGAGAGAGAGAGAGAGAGAGAGAGAGAGAGAGAGAGAGAGAGAGAGAGAGAGAAATGACATAGAAACCAATTTGTGTAACTGCAACATTTCAACAAAGTTGGCAACTGGGTGTCACTTATGGCGGAATACAACAACAACATGTTAATACACGGCCCCGACATCTCAACGATATTGTCACGAATGTATCTGGAAGACCGGTCTGTAAATGTGATGCTATTTCAACAATAAAGACATAAAAAACATCACATTTGTACAAGGTTGGGAAGTGGGTGCCACTTACGTCGTAATATACCAACAACGTCTTCATATATGGCCCGCACTTCCCAACCACATCATCACAAGCGTGAGTGACTGTGATACGGTCAAAACAATAACAGAGAGAGAGAGAGAGAGAGAGAGAGAGAGAGAGAGAGAGAGAGAGAGAG